CCCCAAAACCCCAAAACCCCAAAACCCCTCATCATTTATAAAATGACAATTTTGATTAGAACAATGCAATTTTTTAAATATTAAAATATATTTTCCAAGATGGATTAAAATTTCAATTTGTAAAATTAATCAGAGTATTATTAATCCCCCTAACTTAATAAAAGTGGCTACTCAATGCTAAACGAAAAATGAAACTAGTAAAAAATAAGATTCTAACATAATCCACTCTCCAAAGATCAAATTATGTGCAGAAGTATGGGGGATAATTAATTTATTATGAATCCACGATTGCTAAGAAAAGCCAAAGTAGATCCAGAAAGTGGCTTAAAATAGGGAGCATATCAAACTTAGTTTAGGTAAAATTATAATAAGGAATTAGGCCAGAATCAAGAAGTGTATAATTCAGTAAACACCGGTTTATCAATGACATAAAACATTAAAATTAACTCTTTCAACTCATATGAAGACGGATTGCAGACATAGTAAAAACTACTTCAATTGAATGTTAGGAGAAGAGAAAAACAAGCATGTGATCTAAATCGTAGCTACAATTACCGTGTGTCACTGCAAGATAGTAAATAGGAGAATGAAAGATAATCAAATTTATAATTCTAGGGATTTAAACTGAAAAAGCAAGTGCCTGAAGTCAATGATGAATTTGCTAAAGACTCATTACTTCGACATAAAATCAGAAATACTATTGCGTCTAGTTCAAAATCTAAACGTTAATTAAGTTTTCGCGGTAGTAAGACAAGGAATAATGAGACTTAGATAAAGTATTGAATTTTGAGCTTGGACAAGAATTTAAGCCTGGACACGGAGGACTTTCCCAAAATCATCCAAAGTTGACTATAACGAAAGCAGGATTAACATTCTATTTTTGACAAGCTCAAGATTAATTCTGGTAGTATTGAGCCGAGTTCAGAATATCCTTTAAAGACTAGCCGTGAAACTAACAAATTGTCGCACAAGTAAGACTTTATTTCAACTAAATCTCAAGTATAGTCATCTAAGATCAAGAGAAACTATCTTTTCCGATCTAAGCAAATATATGTCCTTGAACTAAGAATAAAATTCTAAGTATGGAGCCTGCTAAGGAGGGGCCGGTTTTTGTAAAAAATTAGGAGACTTTTAGCTAAAGTAACCATAGCAGGACCAACTTCTCTACAGTAGCTTTGATGGATCCAAAGTATACATTTCTCTTGACAAAATGTAATCAAGATCTAAAAATGTGTTTGGAATAAAGACTTATCTTGATAATTCTCATGAGGAAGAAAAGGCGTTTCTGATGAGTTAAGTAAAATATGTGGAAAATGAAAATAAATAAAAAAATCAAGGTAAGTTACTAATATGGCTGGTAAAATATCATGATGAAATAAAGTCAATTTGTTTTATTGAATATCCACCCTTCTCTATTTTATATTGGCGTAACCTAATTGAATATATAGTGATTTAGCCGGTACTTCAAGCTCAGCTCATACCTATTCAGTATGATATCGGTGATTTAAAGCACCATGCACTCAAGATTAGAGATGGGATTGGTCATGTGCATGATCAAGCTTCTACTCTGATATAGTAATATTTGTAAAAATATGAAGAGAGGGACCAATTATATCAGTCTTAAAAAATAAATGAATCAGATTGATTATTGACATTAAGAAAGAAGTATAATGGGCTTGCTATAAAGCCAAGACTAGTGGTTTATGATTTCATTTACTCCGGATGAAGTCAGTAGGAGCTCAGTGTTTATATTACCATAAAATATCTCCTATTTATTAATAATTTAATACACCTATACAGATAATTTATAAAAATTTTTTAAAACATTTTAGAATAATAAGTATACAATGCAAACCCAAACAATTGAGCAAAATTAATGGACTTCACAAGCTGGAACCGCATATGATTCAATCAGTAACACTACAAGAAAAGCACTAGTGAAGTTAGTAACAGAGTAAAATTTGAGTGTGAGAAAAGCCTCCAAGATACTTAAAATCAAGTATACTACAGCAAAAGCACTTGTACAAAAGTACCGTATCTCCGGGAACATTGATCGTCAAAGAGCAAGGCGAATGACTTTCGAGGATGACTAGAGAGAGAGATTCAGAAAGGACTTGATCAAGAAACTACCGATTTAAGTAGAAGAAGAGAGTGATGATGAAATGAAGTGGGCCGCAACCCAAAATTAAGTTCAGGAGGTTGCTCACCTTACAGCCCAATAAAGGTACTTATCGGCTTAGCAACCAGTTCTTACTTAAACTAATCAACTATTCCAGTGGCCCTCAGGATTTGTTTAGTATCGCAATTTAAATCAAATTTACCCAAACTTGTTCAAAGTTCATCAATAATTAGAATAAAAAGATAGATAGATATAAGGTTGCCCAGAGATTAATTTTGAATTTGGATTCTATTCTTAAAGAATTATGGCATCGTACGAGCGCAGAACGATGGGCACTTAATAAGATAATAAAAGGCAGATTCAAACCATTATAAGACAGTGAACAACTACAATTCCATTCGCATCCTAATTTTAATATTGGACTTGAGTGGAGAGACAAGTGACCTGTGTATTTTTCATCAGATGCTTATCAGTTAAGATAAGTTATTCAAGGTGGACAAAAACTTAGGGATATGAGCTCTTTTCATTAAAGTCCTAATTTATTAATTACATGTATTCGTACAATAATTCTGATTCGAATATATATTATTATCTCATTAATTGACTTAACGCTCGGCATGGGGTTTTGGGGTTTTGGGGTTTTGGGGTTTTGGGG